TGGTTTCTTTCAGCATCCAGCCAGGGCAGATAGCATCATTTGGCTTTGAAACCCTCCCCAAAAGCTTTAGCCATGCAAATGCGGGGGTTCAACAAACGAGGGACTTCATTTCCAGTCAGGCTTCGGGCCAGCACATCCGAGCCTTGCACACAAGACTGGGACCCACCTAAGCATCGTGTCCCCAGCCTCCAAACTCCTCCGCTGCTGTAGACCACCACAGGCTGCAGGACCTTGTGACAACATTGTCCACATTGCTCCTGGGGGCAGAGGCACATCAAGTACATGAACCCCCTGAGCTCATGCAGGCAGCTCCTCTCCCGCATTTTGGGGAGGCAAAGCGTGGTCTCAGGGCTCCTGCCTCCCTGTCCCCATCCCAAAACCTCCCTGGCAGCTCTCACCAGCTGAGATTTTTCTGGGACCCAGAAGGAGCATGCTGGGCTCTCCGTGGGGGGCACATTCCCTGATGGCAGGCGATGAGAAAAGGTCTCCAGGAGACCCTACTTGGGAGGGCAGGAGGACACGTATTCCTCCCAAGGCAGGTGAAGGGCCTGACCAGGGGTGACCAGGTCCTCCTTGGACCTGGAAAACTCGGAGCCAGACCTCGGGCTAGCTGCTGCTCAGTGTGACGAGGCTCAGAACCTCCGCTTGGCTCCGAGCCGAGCCCAGCACCCTGGGATGCCCGCAGCCCTCCCTCCCTGCTACGTTCCTGCCTGATTTCAGCAGGCCATGCCCGCAGCCTGCAGAACAGGCTCAGCTGGCAGCAAGCCCAGCAGGACAGGACAGGACAGAGCCTGAGGGGGGGTGAAGAGCAGGCTGCAGGCACGTCACCCTGGCAGGAGGTCAGGACAAGCCTATGCAGGGACAGGGCTGTCCCCAGGAGTTTGGCATCTCCCCACCACCTTGCCCACCTGAGATAAAGCTTCCCAGGCCCCAGCAAGCAGAGGAAATAATGGAGACGTGAGGACCTGGACACCAGAAAGCAAGCCCCAGGCTGCTGCTGCCAGCCGTGGCTCTCCAGCCCGGCTGCTGATTTAAATCCAAGCCAGATTGAGCCTATCCTGTTTCCACACCCAGCAACTCCAAGGCAGACAGACAATGACAGAGGGACAACCACATCCCAGAGCCTGGTCTCTCCACTCCTCCTGCAAAAACAACATGCCCAGAGACGCAGCTTGCCGGCAGCGCACGACCTACCTCCCCGGGCTCTGCGCCTTCCCAGGGACCGGGGAGGGATTATCCATCCTGGCACAGAGAGCTGGGACGCGGTCTGCCCTGAGCATCACCCTGGCTCTGGCTAAGGAGGACCAGCCCTTTGCAGAGCAGCAGAGCTCAGCAGCAGGGGAAGGAGGAGGGCTGGCAAAGCCCAGCTACAATTAAAGGTGGTTCCCAGCTTATTCCCCTGGCCCAGGCACTGCTGACCACCCCCCCCCCACACACACACACATAATAGCCCTGGGCTGAGAGAAGGAGGGAGCATTTATAGCCACAGCCAGTGGAACCAGCTGGTGCTCGTTGCCTTGCCTGGAGGAGGCGAGTCAGGGTCACGCTTCAGAAATATTTGAGAAGTGCAGCGATTAAAAGATTTGAGCTGGCCATCTGAGCTGTCTCCCTCCGCCCCCGGTTCGTTGACGCCCCACGCCAGTGCCCTCCCATGTGTGGATCTGCCTGGTCTCGCTCCTCCACGCCGGCGCACGCTCCTCTACCTCCCAGCGTGGTGGGGATGGGTCTGGCTGGGTTGGGGCAAGCAAAATCCCACCGAGCTCCATCCCCTGCACACGCAGCCCCAGAGCTGCTGCCGGCCCCGATGAGCAGGCGTGACTTTGCTCCCCGTTGGCAGCCGTGTCGATCCAACACGCTTCCTAAGCGCGTTGGCAGCGTAGCGTGCCCGGCAGGCTTGATCTTGCCCGGCTGCCCTGCTGGGAGCTGCACCCCACGCTCCCCTTTGCCATGAGGAGGAGCCGGGTCAGGTCGCCGGGCTGCTTTGGTGCTGATCCCGAATTGTTGAGCGCTTGGGGCCGGTGGGGGTATCCGTGCGGCTGACGAGCCTCCGATCAGCAGCTCTGCTTGTCCCAGCTGCCGGAGCAGGAGGCACCCAGCACATCCCCAGCCTCCAGCCGCTCGGCTGGTCCCGGCAGGACCCTGGCTGCTTCTGCACCCGGGAGGAGATCAGAGATCCTCCCACCCCGCAGCATCCAGCCGGTTGGATATAGGTTTGTCCCTACTGCTTGCTGGCCTGGCCTGCATATAAACCCCGGTCTCCCAGAGGTCAAACCAAGGATGCCAGATTTTCTTTCCATAGTGGGGAGAGGCTCAAAGGGAAGGAGCAAGACAAGAGCTCCTGGAAGTCGCCCGCCGGAGAAGAAGCAGCAACGGGCTCTCCCGTGCCGGCTTCGGTGCCACTGGCCGGCTGTTGTGCCGGCGGGGCTCACGGCGGTGCCTCGGCCTTGGCTTTCCCACGCGAGAGCAGCCTTGGGAAGCGGGAGGAGGGAGCAGACCTGCCCCGTGTTCCCGGCATTTCCTCTTGGCCCTGCATGCCCCAGGTTTTTTTTTCTTGCCGGCGACCCTGAGCGGGAGCAGGGAACAGCCTGTGTCCTGGATAAGGGCAGCGACTGAAACCATTGGGGCACAGGGAGCACTGTGTGCACTCCCAGCCCCCCTCCCTACCGCCACCCTGACCCTGGGGTGCCCACCCAGCAGCAGGAGCACCAGGGCAGCCGCCGGGATGCTCGGAGCTGGTTCCATCCTCCAAACCTCAAGTGCTTTTGCAGGAGGTCGTGGGAGGGGTGGGGGGCAGCAGGAGGATGCTCCAGCCCCCCCACCCGGCCAAGGCAGACCCCGAAACGCCTGCCTGTGGGCAGGGAGGGCCCCAGCCAGGCAGCAGAGGGAAGAGGCAGGAATGTTAATGGGAAGCAGGTTCTCCTGACCGATGGGTTTGCCGTGCTGAGCCAGCCCTGGGAACGTGGTCCAGACATGGGGGTATGCAGGGGGGTGACCGGTGGGGCAGGGAGACCTTTGCGGGTGCTGAAGGATCGCAGAAAGCACAGGTCCACCCTTGGGGAAACTGAGGCACAGCCTTCAGAGGGGGTGCACGCACCCCGCAAGAGACCCTGTCCTGTCTCCGTCCCCATGCCAGGATGCTGGAGCGGAGGATGAGCTCCTGGGGCACTGGGACATCTCCCCGCGCCTGTCGCACACCCTGTGAGCAGAGGCAGCTCTTCGCAACGTTCAGCCTTCACCGAGGGTGTGACTGGCATGGGTTTGGGGCCCAAATCTGCAAACGTTTCTCAGGGTGGCTCCAAGGAGGATTAACTCCTTTGCCCGGGCTGCACGAACCCTCCTGGCACTGCTATCGGCTCTCCCACCCTTCCAGGTCCTTGTCCCCCACCCCACACCCAGACACTCCAAAATCTGTCTCCGGGACATCCCAGGGACTGTGCTGCGATGAGGGACCCCAGGCAGGATATCTCCCCCGCCAAGCCGGGTCCGGGGGAGCCGGGATGCCGCAGCTGGATGCTGGCATGGCTCCAAAGGCTGCTTGCGCTGCCGGAGGCTGGCTGCCCGCCTGGGGACGGCAGTGGCAGGCTCCATTCCGAGGGAGAGCAGACGGGAGCGGGGCTGGGGGGGGTGGGGGGGGTGAAGGGACGTGCCATTCCGCACAGCATCTGGCCTCAACATGGGGCCAAGGTGACAGCGGTCATGGTCATGGTCATCCAGTGCATGGCCAGCAGGGCCAGGATGAGGCATTAACCCCTGCGGGGTTAGCACAGGGGTGAGCCGCCCTAATTCCCATGGCTGCTGCTGCCACTGGAGGAGCTGGGGTGGGCTGGGGTAAGATGGGGTTGGGATAGGATGGGTCTGGGCTGGGCTGGGCTGGGCTGGGGCCAGAGTGAGATGGGGCTGTGGTGAAGGGGACCGTCCCGGCCATGGGATGCAGGAGGAAACATGTCCTGCCCGGACGAAGGCTGCGCGACGCCTCCGGCTATATTTCAGTGTGCTCGTCCCCGCGGGCTGGGGCCAGGGAGGGCTCCGGGAGGATGAAGCGCAGCCTGTCGCATTCCCAGCGCCGCAGTTATTTTAACAATACCCCGCTGGCCTGCATGCCGGGGCTAATTTTAACCCTGGAGCCACGCCAAGCCGGCCCTAACTTTCCTCGCTGTGATTTATCCCAGCCATTTCCCTTCGAAAACAAGGCCCCCGTGCCAGCCCCGCTGTCTCCCCAGGCAGCGGCACGCTGCCCTGGGTCCTGCCCCACTGGGCAGGGCAAAGAGGGGCAGGATTTGCTCCTCGGCATGTTGTTTGGAGAGCAGGAGGGCAGCCGGTGCAGGGGTCCCCCCCCTGCGTTGCTCAGCCCCCCGCCGCCCACAGCACAGGGATTTTGAGAAGCTGGCTGGAAGCCGGGGGATGCTGGGATGCGGAGCCTTCCCCAGGATCCTGGAGCAGCTCCGTTTTCCACAGACATCTCTAGGAAGGAGTTGGGTGGGTTTTCTACTGACAATTTTATTGAAAAGGCTGTGGGGCTTTTTTTTTTTTTTCTTTCCCTTTTCCCAGTCAACAGCCATGCTTGAGAAAGACATTTCCCTTCGCCTCTGTGTGTCTATTTAAAAACTGATCGGTAAAAATGCTGCAGAAACATTTGCAAAAAATGGAAAGTATTGAAAATATCTCGTGACAAAAAAGAAAAATCATTCTCTTCCAAATAAAGATCTTTTTTCTTCTCTTTTTTCCATCAGAAAAGCTTTTAGTGTGCAAAATGTCGACCGCTTTGATTTCTTCTCCCAGCGGGCTGGGATGCACCCATCTCTCTGCTCCAGGAGGATGGGTTTTCAGAAAGCTAAAAATCACTGGGCAGAGATACCTGCACCATTACCTCCACGTCCGTCTCTCTTGTGACCCCCCTGCGCCCCCGCCAGACCTGCAGCAGGGTGGGAGGTCCCCAGGGAAAGAGGTGGCACGGCCAGCCTGCAGTCCCCGCAGGACTGCAGCCTGCCCGCCTGGGAAGGGGGAAGCCCAAAGGTATTTGGTCACTAGCGTCACGAGTTCCCGTTCGTTCTCAGCCCGTCACAAACAGAGGAGGTCTGCAAGGCTGTGGATAGAGAAGTGCGTGATTTCGGCAGGGCAGCAAGCGGAGGCGTTAGAGGTTGTCGTACATGCGTAATGTCTTCTCCAGCTGCTGGCTGACACGCTGGTAGAAGACAATCTGCTGCTTTAAGTAAGACTGCATCATCCTCTTGAAGTCAGCCACGCGCCGCTCGTGGAAGTGGTTCATCTCGGCTTGCAGGGCGAAGCCCACCACGCGGCAGCGCTTGCGGATCCCGTCCGCCTCCTCCTGGTCCATCCTGCCCTCGTCGCTCATCCGCTGGCTCTCCTTCACCTTCGCGAAGGCGCCTGGCGAGGCAGGGGGAAGGGTGAGAGGCTGATGGATCCACACGACCCTCCGTCCCCCTTCCCCTGGCACAGGCATCCCCGGCCAGCGCTGGTGGGTCCCTTCGCCCTCTGTGCCGAGGCACCAGCCTGGCCCCACAGCCAGAGGTGCAGAGCTGCCCCACATGAATAAAGGAGGGATCTGCGTGCTCCTGGGCTGTCATCTCCTTGTGCCCATCAATCCTCATCCCTCTCCTCCAGGCAGGGAAAGACCAGGAACCTTTTCCCTCTGGACTCTGACCTCCCCAGCTCCTTTTCCGCCCCATCCCTGGGCAGTCAGCCTCACATTTCGCCAGAGGTTTGGGGGTCTGGGCTGCTGGACGGATGCGACTCAAGGCTTGGGGTGCAAAGCTAACGTGGGGCAGCGTTATCGCAGCCAAGCACCCCAGCCACGCCTGCCCTGCAAATGTTTGATGTCAACCCCGTGGATGGGGGTCAGGAGCAGCCCTGGGAGACCCCAGCCTGGGAGGCGGTGAATCGGGGCGCAGGAAGGGTGTGCGGTGCCGGCTGGAGCTCGTCTGGGAAAGCATCTCCCTCTCCCAGAGGCGGCTGGTGCTCTGACACTAGTTTTTCCCTCTCCTTCCATTTATTTTTACAGCTCGGTTTCAAAAGAATCCTGCCTGGCTCCAGCCCTGCATTCCTCCCCCCTCATTAGCACAGAGGCTCTTTGCCCGAAAACAGGATCTGGCCCGCAACTTGCCGGGCTTTTTTTTTTCCTCTCCCTGCTCCTTGCCGGGAGCACCAGACCCAGGGGTTACAGTGCTCCCACCGCACCAGCCCTGCTCCCAGTGGAGAGGAGGAGGAGGAGGAGGGAGAAGCAAAGGTTGGAGGCCAAATCCTGCCTTCCGCTCTGCCCACGCGGCCTCGCTTCCGGACGGGATCCAGCCCCTCTTCACCCGCTGCAGTAAACAACGCAGGGAGGGAAAAGGCGAGGAAGCGGCCAGGGCTGGATCGCATCCTCCCTTTCCCCCTTTGCCTTCCCAGCCTCCTCCAGGGATGCGGAGCGATGCACGGACACCCCCAGGGTGCTCGGACGCGGACAACCTTGGCTTCAGCCTAGGGCAACCCCCCCCTGCCCCCCAAAAACCCGGGGATGCCGGTGTGGGCGTCCCCTCCCCACTGCGGGCAGCCAGATCGGGAGGAGCGTGTGGACTTTGGCCCCGCTCCCGCACCCGGCTCCCCGTCTGCCTGGGTGCAAAGGGACACCCTGCCCTGCCTCCCCAGGAAGGGCAGAGCAGACCCCTCTCGCCCCCTCTCCTCCTTCCCGACCCCCCCAAAATACCCAGGGGACCTGAAAGCACAAGGGGACGAAGGGGACGTGGGGACCCCCGATGCCCTGGGGGTGCTAAACCCACCCCCCCACGCCCCCTCCCGGGCTCAGAGGGGTAGGGACATACTCTCGAAGAGTTTGACCCTGGTTGTTCCCAGAAAGTCCAGTGTGTGTCCCAGCCCTGGGGGAGGAAGCCCAACCATCCCCGCTGGCGACCCAACCGCTGCCTCGGCTGACGAGGGAGGATGAGGAGGGACAAGCGGTGGTGGGTGGGGATGCGACGCAGCCCCTCGTTCACAAGGTGCTGGGCAGGCCATCCCGGAGCCAACAGCAATGGTGCCGGCTCCTGCTCAGGGCAGCGACGTATGCGCTGACCCCCCCCCCCCTCCCCGGCCAGTGCTTAGGGCATCAGTTCTGGAGTCCACGGCATCGCTTGAGGCAAAACCCGAGCCTGGACCCAACAGCCCCAGCGGCCTCTCGCGGGCTGGGGTGACCGGGGAGCCACGCCAGCAGGGACCACGCTGCCACCCTGGAAGCCATGGGCAACAGTCCCCATCCTCATCCCCATCCTCATCCTACACCCCCATCCTGCTCCCCGTGCTGCTCCCACCCACGTGGGGCCATCACACCAGAGAGGTCATCACCAGGGGAGAAGAAGCCACCCTTACCTTTCTGGAGGTGGATGATGTCTGGGAAGTTGGAGAGGAGCCCCTGGTACAAAGAGAGAGTGTCCAGCATGAGGAACAGGTCGTTCTTGGGCTGCTCGGCAAACATCTCCCCCACAGTCTCGTACGTCTTGCCCGTGTGGGAGATGGCGTTGTTGAGGGCGTCCGAGCTGTAGGGGGGGTCCATGTGGAAAGAGTGGCTGATGGCTTGGAAGGCATTGCCCAGCTTCTGGAACTCCTTCCGGAAGCCCCCCACGTGCTTGCGCACCAGCTCCGAGGCCACGTTGGTCAGCTGCAGGACGCTGTCGTCCATCTTCTTGCTGAAGGCCTTGAAGGCATCCACGCGGTCCTCCACGTCCTGCAGGTCCTGGTGCTCTGTGGGGATCTGGATGGTGAGGAGGAAGCTGGCGCCCACCATCTCGTCCTTCTCCGCCCGGCGTTTGCCCAGCTTCCACTGCTTCTCGTCACGGCAGCAGAGGAAGTGCTGGAAGCCCTCGTACTGGGAGAGGACAGGGTGGCTGGTCATATGGTCCATCCAGAGGATCAGCCGCCGCTTGCGCTTCTCAATGAAGTCCTCCTCAAAGCGCCCAGTGGCCTGTTTCTCGGGCAGGTGGGGCACCGAGATGACCGTGAACTTGTGCAGGAGGCGGTTGTAGAGCCAGTCAAAGTGCTTGTACCGCCGGTAGACGGGCGAGTTGATGTTGCTGGGGGTCAGCTTGTAGGAGATGTAGCTCTTGATGCCCTTGAACTTGGTTTGCTTGGTCGGGTCCTCCACGGAGCAGATGAAGGGGTGGGGGTTTGCCCTCCACTGGGGACCTTTGGAGCCCATCTCGATGCAGTACGCCTCAGCAATCTTGGACATCAGGGGCACGTCGCCCAGGATGAAGGCTTCCACCCCCGAGCGGACGAAGCAAGAGAAGCGGTTGAGGTTCCTCCCCACCACACTGCCCCTCTTGGAGGAGCTCATGCTGTCCTGCCTCTCCAGCGCCGGCTTGGGATGGTAGCCGGTGTGCTGGTGGTGGCCATACGCTGCCGGGTACTGCAGGCTGGGCGAAGGGTGCCCGTTGGTGCCCGGCGCGCTCCGGGGCTCCTCCACCACCGTGCAAGCGTCGTCCCAGTCATCCCAATCATCGTCGTCGTCGTCCTCAAAACTGCCCTGGTAGGAGATGCCGGGGTTGGGGGGAGTTGTGTAGAAGGAGTCGTGCCCGGGGGAGCCGGCTGGGCTGCCGGAGTAGTCCGTGTAGTTGGAGCCCGAGCGGGAGCGGAGGATTTCGACGTAGGAGGCAGGGAAGAGGCCGGTCTCCCCGCGGCTGTTTTGGCCCTGTAACCACCCGTCCAGGGAGTTCTCACTGAAGATGACGAGCTCCTCGTTCTCCTGGATGCTGATCTCCTCTTTGTTTTCGCTCTGGAAGTTGTAAAGCGCTCTGGCTTTCAACGCCATGGCCAGTCCCAGGAAGGGGTGACAGGGTGTAATGCAATCCCCGTAGCCTCAAAAAAAACCACCACCCCCCCGGCGATACCGCAAGCTCGCTTGGTGCTGGGGCCAGCCCGCGCTGTGGAAAAGGCTTGGTTGGTTTCTCAGGCAAATAAAAAAAGGTGGAGAAGAAATCCCTTATGAAGTGACGACAAGGTCCGTATGTCCAAGTGCCCCCCCTGATGCCAGGGCCCCGGTTGAAACCAACATTCCCTGGTCAAGCGAGTGGCATTTCCCTCCCTCCTACGGGATGGAACCCCCAGCCGGACGGAGAACCAGGCTCTGCCATGGCCACGCAGGTTTTATCTCGCTGGGACTCTGATCCCGCGGTTTCACTCTCCGGGAGGAAAAGATCCGGCTGCCAGCGAGGAAATAAATCCAAAGTGACTTTTCTCGGGGGGCTCCTGCGGATAAGACACCCCGGTTTCCTCCGGCCGGCGGCTGCAGAAAGCGCCAGGAACTGACCCCAGCCCCAGCCCAACCTCCCGTGATCCCGGCCTGGGGATTTTGCAATTCCTTTCCGGGCCGACTTTCCCGGCGTTTGGTGGGGTTTTTTTGTTGTTTTTGTTGTTGTTTGGGGGTTGGGTTGTTTGGGGTTTGGGTTTTTATTGGTTTGGGTTTTTTTTCCCCCTCCCCCGAAATCCCCCAAATCTCCCGCAGGATGGAGGGGAAGGGGTTCCGTAGGGGCAGGGTACCACCGGGACCGGGACCGCGACCGGGACCGGGACCGG